CCGCTCTTCTGCTTGTTTTAGGTACACGAGTCTGAAGCCTTGCATCACCCGCATCCCTGAGAACGGATACGGTGGAAACATCACCTCATGGCCTGCCCGTTTACACACTCCTCCAGATAGGCTGCAGACAATAAAACTGGATTCCCTTATTGCAAGGAAAGAGCTTTTAAAGGCAGAGTCGAAATTCTGGAATGAAATGATAGGAGGATATATCCGTGCCTTCAAATGGAAGAAGATGAAACTAAGAAATGTCTTGGACATGAGAGCCGGCTATGGCGGGTATCAAACTCGGACTCCCACCTCAGCATTTGGACTGTGATATAAATTGCCTCAGCATCTAAGTGTTTTCCTATTTTTTAAACTTCATTTGGTTTTGCAGATTTGCAGCTGCACTGATTGATCATAAGCTCGATTGCTGGGTTCTCAACGTGGTTCCTGTCAGTGGACCTAACACATTACCCGTTATTTATGATCGAGGACTATTGGGAGTGATGCACGATTGGTACTACTCTTCTCCCTCACAAATCTTTACCTTATAAAACACATAGAATCATGTTTAGAGTGTCGTCGAGCCTGCGTAAATTCTGGTTTATAACACAAAAGATGGCTGTCATGTTCATGGAAGCTTAGTCAATGCTTAAGAAAGGTACTGATTTTTGCTTGATGTTTGATTTCATCATATCATAATCTTAAGCATCTAGAGATATTTAGTGTTTATACAGTTTCAGTATATCGAATACTGATGCATCCTGCGTTATCTCTACAGGTGTGAACCATTTGACACGTACCCAAGAACGTATGACTTATTGCATGCATCCGGACTATTCTCAATCGAGAGAAAGAGGTAAAATCTTTAGTTACTCACTCCCTTCAAAAGAATTATTATTATTTCCTTGGGATAGTTCTGGAATTAGATCGTTCTAATCTTTGCACAAGTTCTCAAACCAGAACTATGTAACATATCATGATGACACATAATCTCTATCTGAGTATTTTGGAGTCGTTGTATCAGATGCAACATTTCGACCATCATGTTAGAGATGGATCGGATTTTAAGGCCTGGAGGACGGGCTTATATCCGCGACTCCATTGACGTGATGGATGAACTTCAAGAGATCGCAAAGGCAATGGGCTGGCACACTACTCTTCGTTTCACATCCGAGGGTCCTCATGCCAGTTATCGGATACTAACATGTGAGAAGCGTCTTCCTCGTGCATGAATCTGTCCAAAAGGATAAAGTATCAGATTCTGCTAAACCCGAGACACCAAGAAAACGGACCAAACCCCATCTGCCTAACCACTGAGATGTCAACGCAGCTTGAGCGCTTGTTTGTGATAGAGCTCATCTCATAACGGATCCAATTCAATACTTTTAAGGTTCACAGGTAGAATTCAACCCAAAAGTTATCTTACTGGGATGGTGCCCCGATAATTTTAAGAAATTATGGGATGAGTTTTATGTGAGTTTTAAAATGATTGAATTGGATCTATTATGGGTTGAGTTTGACAAGTTTTTATATTACTCGTTAACACCTTATGTTTTACCTAATTGTAAATTTTATTGTTGGGTGTGTTATGTGGTTAGTGAATGTTTACAAAAAGCTTCACTTAGACTTGGTCCTGGATTTTTGTAGCGTTCTTGCAATTTGCCAATATATATATTTGTAATAATTTCATATTCTCCACAAAATCTTGTAACAAATGCTCACAGATTGTCGTTTGTTGTTGTCATTGTCTTAAGCAGAACACAGAATGTTCTCTACAACAAAACCAGCAAAAAAAAAAAAAAAAAACCCTCAAATGAACCTCTGAGATCTAGGTCTCCACATCTGTTGTTGTCCTTGACTCTGACTTCTCGGCTCAGTTCTCTGAGAGTTCAGGCCATTAGGATGAGCCACCTGACCTCTTGGCCTGACGAACCGGACTTGATTCTGGTTGTGGTTCTGGTTTGAACTAGAAGCAGTCATAGGCAAAATCCCATTGCTCTGATTCTGTCCCCTCTGCCAAGACAGATTCTGCTGCTGCATGTGTATCGGCCTCAGCCTCGGCTGCAGCCCCTGGAAATTATGGCTCGGTGATGGTGCATTGATGAAAGGGGTTGCACGAGGCAGAAACTGTGAGATGTGTGGCTTTGTTAACACCGAAAGGAGTGAGTCACGGCCACAACTCGAGACAAGTTGGCGTTGGGACAACTCGAAGGCTTGAGCTATCCTGTCCAGTTGCTTACGGCTTACACTCCTCGCTGCATTCTCCGGTTGTTCGAAAGGATCCTCAATCTGATGAACCAACCCCAACCCGCCATTTCCACAGAGAAGTCAGAGATTCGCATGTTTATCGGGAATCTTGGAATAACACAAACCGAGGGAGAAAAGTAAGAGTAGTTTACAAATAGGGAATACGTCTTAGGCAACCATCTCGTGTTGCTGCTTATGCTCTCCCATCTTCCCGTGAATGGGCAGATACCAATCTCTCCAGCCTTCAAGTTTATGTCCGAAAACTGGAAAAGAAAAGCACAATATCAAATGACTACTCTTATCAAAACAAACTATTTCCGAGATTTTTTTTACTCGAAGGTACAGTGTGAAAGGTTCTGCTTACCTTGGCAAGAAAAGAGATGAAGAGCTCGGAGAGGGAGCTTCGGTTGATGGGTCTAGATTTGTCTGATCTGAATCTTGCTATACTAGTGGCGGAAATCCTTGCAATGTTTTCCTCAGCAGTTGCTCGGACACCTGCAGGAACCAATGTTGATAATTGCTTTCTCAAAACAGAGATGCCCTCTTGATCATTTGGAGGTTTTCGTTTTGATAAGCTTTTCATTACAAGGTACCTGCCAGATCATCAACCGCGCTCCTCGGGTATATCTCACTAAGAGGGGGCAAAATTGCAGGTACACATGTCTGCCACACAAAACAAAATGCCAGAAGAAGAAAACTCAATCATACCAACACAACAGAACTGCGCACTGCAGTTATACATGTATATATGATGAACCGTGTGTGAGGCGAAATAAGACATAACTAGAAACCCGAAACAAGTTTTAAGTGTTTTCGGAGAGGTTTGAAAAGAGAACAACATCATCACCTGAAAATGGAAGATGACAAGTAAACTGAGAGAGTAGGAGTTCAAAGTCCCGGTCTTGGGATCGTTGATATTGTGAGCTTTGGCCCATTCTTTCACCTAACAAGATAGATTACGAGATAGAGATAGCTGGACGAGAATACTTGTAAGAGACAACTCTGGTCACAGTATGGGACTTACCAGCAAAACCAAGTCGCGGAATCTACCATCTATCTCACTGATCCAGAAGAGGAACCTGCTCTTCAACAGACCTTCAAGATTATCGATAGAAATATCGCAAGATATTCTCTGGATGCCACTCACGATTTTCAGAATGGGAACTCGGGCATGACCAACAAACTGCAACTTGTACCATCCACCTGTTTTTGCACAGAAGAAACTACTCAAAATCGATACATAATAATACATTAACTCTTATAGTAGAACTTTCGAAGTTACCTGACATTTTTTCTCTTGCAGAAAAAGGGAGACACACAGAAAACAGAAGTAAAGATATGAAGAAAGAAAAACAGATCAACCTGTCTCTTTCAGAGCTCGAAGTAAATTTCCAAGTAAGGTCTGTTTCTGCTTCTTTCCAGTGTACAAGATGGATGAACCACTGTAGAGGTCAATAGAGATATCCAGATCTCCCCAGCGTGTGAAGAGGTTTGACACAAACGAACCAAATGGCTGAACAGTAGCACCTGCTTCGAGAAGATGGAGTAAAAATCGAGTCATTAGCTAATGCTAAATTCTTTTTTAGTACCTTTAATTTCAGAATTTAGTTACAAAGGAATCGAGAATCAAGCAGAAAACCATTTCATTACTATCCTAGCTTCCATTTTCTGAATCATCAAGTCCATTTCTATTTTAAGCTCTAAATTTGCATTTGACGCTGACAGCAAGACGAGAACATTGGAGAAGCATAAACAAAACCCACCTCTTAAACTTTCTACAGATCGTAAAACGTTACGCAACTCCTCGATGACTCTGATCCTTGCATCCCAATCTGCCCGCGAGGGCTTAATTACTTGAAGTATTTCTTGAAGGGTAGGCTCCAGGATAGGGTTGAAGCTCAGTGTCTGATTCATCTACAACACCAAAACACATAATAAAAGTAATCTCACACATAAAGCTAGACCAATTTCAGTGTAGCCGAATCATCCTGTAATCCAAAACAACGGTAACACAAAGCCATCTTCACAGCTCAAGAACGGTAACATTTTCGTGATAAACACCCGAATCCAGCCAAAAAAAAAGTTTCAAGAATTTCCTAGTCCGTAATGAGTTTGCTTGCCTGGACTTGAATATATTGAACTTCATCATACAACAGCTTCAATTCCACTCCACAAACTACTCTATGAAGTCATGAAACCGACACAGGAAATGAATATCAAAGCTTTCACTTCATGTTTTGGTTAAAACACAACCTAGAAATTCAGCAAGCAACAATCTTTGACATTGTCTCCTCTAGGACCATCTTCGATATCCACAACCCACATTATATGTCGTTAAAATCGGCGAAAAGATCGCAACCCGAAGAGTAAATTAACGAGATTTGACCAAGTAAACGAATACCTAATTATCAGAATAAACAGCAAAAATGTTGACTTGCTTGATCAATGGGATTTAAACAAAAAAAAAGATATACGAACCGAAGTTATAAAAGAGAAAGGATTTCGTACAGTTTCCGAAGCGTAGGCGAGAGAAGCAAGAATGCGAACTTCAGACTGAATCCGAAATCCTCTCCTGCTGAGCGGAAATTTTGAAAAATCAAGCACGAGTTGCGGGAAACCCTTTTGCTTGAATCCAAAATCTTGTTCGGATTTAGGGATTTTACACAATCGGAAAACCCCTTCTTCCTCGAAAATGATCCGGAAGAGGAACCTGCTCCTCAACAGGCCTTCAAGATAATCGATAGAAATATCACAAGAGATTCTCTGGACGCCTCTCGCTGATCCAGAAGAGGAGCCTGCTCTTCATCAACAGGCCTTCTGAATATTTATGAACCCACCAAAAAAAAAAAGATTGCTCTCTGAATATTTGTAGGCTCGCAGGCAGCGAAGACTGCGCAGTCGATTTCCTTCCCGAGAAGGAACTCTCTTTTTTATTCTATTTCCTAAATATATTTTTGCTGAACTTTAAAATTTGAAGTTTAGTGGGAAAACAAATCGCCTTCACCTTTTTCTTTTGACGGATTCACACCTCCTTTTCCCTGCCAATAAAAACATTCACATTTCTTGTTCTAAGTTTTCTATGAAATTCCTTAGAAAATCATCATATATACATTAGAAAGACACCACGCCCCCTAGGTTTTCGGTCTTAATCAAAATCGGTCAGGGGTGCGTCGGAACGGTCGGTGGCTGGTTCCCAACGGGACGTAGCTAACCCTTCTAAGATAACCAAGTCTCAAGCTAAAAAAAATGGGACTGACAAAATGAATTCGTGCGTGACATACTCCCACCTATGGATGGATCCTTCTAAGATTTTCTCCTCTAAGGTAGTTGTGATCCCAGGGAACCAGATCGAGATGAGAAAGACAGGGCAATTCCCAGGAAATGGGCGATACGTTTTTGTATTTCTATGAGAAGCTCAAGCTGAATCGTACATCGATATGAGAGGAAAAAAGAATTCCTACGATCACTGACCTGCTCTGATACCAATTGAAAAAGTAAACTCACACGAAAAAAAAGAGAAATGGTTGATTTACACGAAATAATTAGTTTACATTACAGTTATTACTTAAAAAGGAAAATTAAAAAATTACCTAATAAATAAAACAATTACTGAAAATTAGAGCCTACTAACAAATCAAAGCCAATAATAATAATAATAATAATAATAATGATGATGATGATGATGATGACGACAAATGGATTTTAATCCTCAAAGTAGGGTGGATGATTTAATCCGTAACCCGAATGTTTAGAAGTATTCGACTTAACCAATATCTGAATAAAGTGTATATTAATATTAAAGATGACGAAATCGAGTATTAACGAGGATAAATTTTCGACCCGACTCCGAATTCGGCTATTAATTATTTCTCAAAAGGTACGTGATATATTTATTAAAAATCTAAAATATTCTTTATATTTATAATATTTATCTAAATTATTTTATTATTTACTAAAATACTTTATTTTAATTAATATTTTTTTAGCATCTCAATCTTTTTATCTAAACATTTCATCATTACAAACATTATTTTATTTTATTTTTTCTATGCAACCGAATCAACCATTCATATCTCTTTCATACTTTCATTCATCTCTTTTCATCGTTAACTTTCTTCTTTATATTTTGATCTTCTCCTATTTGTACTTTCTATCTCTATCATTTCATCTATCATTTCATCGTTTAAAATTTCATAAATGGTATATGTCTAAATACTTTCAAATATAAGACTAAGAATCATATTAAACCCGAATTACAAGTATTCGGATTTTATGAAACCAAAACTGAGATAATATTTTTGTAAAACCGTGATGACAAAGACGAGACAAAGTTTTCTAAGAGTTGGGTAACGAGTGGTGCCCATCCTTTTTTTCTTCTCTATTTCACCACATTGAAAATGTATTTTCCTTAGCTTCGAAGTTTATTAAGTCATTCTCCGGTGGACAAGACAATCTTGTTGTCGGGTATATAACTATACATATACACATTTTATCAGCAACAACAATCTCAGACACAACAGAAACTAAACCTCGTACCAAAGCTTCGACAAATGCCCAGATGAAGATGAAGCCTCTCAAGAAACAACGAGTTTTTTTATTTTCTGTTGGCCTTATCTATCTGCAGAGCAATGTCTCCCTTGTTGCATTCCCAGTCGTCAGGTTAACCCTTTTATGAAGCAAAATAGAAAAATGGGACAGGAAAAAAAAACAGAACAGATATCAGTTTGATGGAGAAGAACAATGATTGAACTCAACATTACCCTGTGTGATCCAGTTCGGATCTGAGTTAAAGATCCGATTTTTCTTTTCGCCCCCAGTTTTTCAGAGAGAGGGCTGTCTGTTAGCTTTAAAATGGTTGGAGTAGTGCTATATCAACAATCTCAGATACAAGATGACATGTCTCAGTCGATTGTTCTGTATCAAACTCTCGAGTTTCTACGTTTATGATTCAAGAAGATAAACCAAAACCAATTCCAAGATCTGCCTTTTTCGACAAGTTGCACCAGTTGGTTGAAATTCGTTCTGTGCAGATACTGAGAAAAGGGCAAGAATCTTTACCCGTCTGCGATTTTGCATAGGTATTCTCTTTGATCATCTCTGAGAGGAACATCAGTGAAGTCTGGTCCAATCCATATACACACCAGTGTTATTAACCCATAAAACATGAAAATCTACGCGAAATCAAACAGAGGTGGAATCGTTTTGAAGCTTCTCACCAGCGCCTGTAATGTTTGATCCCTTGAAGGATGTGTTGCCAGTAGCAAGTGCTCCTTCCAAGTTAGCATTTGTCAGATTCGTCTGCAGAAAGCAATAGTATGTTATACTGGAAAAACATACAAGCATGTTTTAGTGTGTATAACATACACATCTTGAGACAGAAAAATTCCTTATTACGCATAATCGGTGTTGACAAAAACGCATGATTAAGATATTCCATTGATCGGAGAACTATCCCGAGAGATTTATTTGATATTTCACGAGCAATCTAAAAGGTCTCAGTGATATTGGTCCATTTTGCAAATATACATACATATGGATATGCAAATGTTATGTATTGTGAAGTACATTAACCTTTGCAAAGTTTGCCAAGGAAAGATCTGCACCTCGGAGATCAGCATCTGATAGATCAGCACCTGCATAAACTTCATGGATGAATTCTTCTTTTTTTCTAACATCAGACCAAACAGGGAAAAGGGGAAACCAGTATGAGAACAGACCTGTTAAATCTGCATCAAAGAAGCTAGCTCCTAATAAGTTAGCTCCCTTGAAATTGGCTTGTCTTAGGATGGACTGCAGAGAATGAAAGAACTCTTTTCTCCATACAGCCAGATATTTGGAAACACACCGGCAAAAGTATGCGAGAAGTTGCAGAGATTTCCAAGATACATATGGTGAAATTCATAAAGAAACAAAGAGAAAAAAAACTGGGAGTACCGTCTTGAAGTCCTGCCTGATAAGAGTCTTGCCACTGAAGTCCTTGCCGGTTAGGTCTTGTCCCCTGGTGACTTCTTGTCCATAGGGACCTCCACCCTTAAGATCATTCAAATTTCCCAGAAAAAACGTTAAATACAAAAGAGCAGTTTATGCACCGGAAGACCATCCCCATCTTCTAATACTTCAAACCACAAGAAATCCTCCTGCCACTGAAGAAATGTACTAAAGCAGCAACGCCTTTTCAGTTATTGCTAATAATATACGAAATAATTCGACCATGGATGTCATTAAGTAGCGCACAATGTGATAGGCTTCATAACAAGTCAGTTAACGAAATTTTTACTGAAACCTCCAGATTATCGGTGAAAGTCTAGAAAAACCTTTCTTTCTTGCATCTATCAATCAGTATAATCACAATGTGTCAGAACACTTTTGACCAGAAACCTTAGCACAGCTTCGACTGCTCATTTCGGTTCAAAGTTCAAACGGTTACATTTGACAATCCTCGGCTCAGATTGGATCATTGTGACCCATTTTATAACTTCTACCCGAACTTTTTATGGATAAATAAGAGCATATTTGTTAACTTTCCAATTCTCATACCATAATATGAAAGTCTCAGACGTATACTGGAAATTTCCCAGTAAAGACTTCCTCACTGTTTGCCTCATCTTTTTTTTTTGGGGTAACTTTCCCAGTAAGTACTGTTTGCTTCATCTTCTTCTCTCTAAGACTTGCATTGTTCAATTTTGCTGCACATTACTATACAGCTGATCAAAAGAAAGTTACACCCTAACTTTTTTGCTGGGTTTGTGTTTAAGTTCACTGGTCAAGATCATCATCACGCATCTGCTTCACCAAAATTGCATGCCAGCTCTTAAAACTTTGAGCATTGTACTTAAACAAGTGGCACCCGAAAGGTGGTTCCTTTTTTCTCAAAAGATTACTGGCGTCAAGAACAAAGGACAGATACCTTAAAAGCAAGAGCAGGGTCGACCAAGAACAGAGAGGCAGATACAAGGGCAAGCAAGCCCATCTTGGAAACCCCTTCCCCCAATGACCAAACCCCATTTCCTTCCTTGAGTTCCTGTTCAGAACCCACAAAGACAAATAGAAAAAGTCTACATCGAATCACAAGTAAACCAAATTACAACGTCAATTCAGGGTAGAGAAGCAGATGAAGATGGAGATTTTACCTGTGGCCTGGAGCAGAAAGGAAGGCGAAGAGAACGAGAAGACACTGAATTGGAGAGAGAGAGAGATAGTTTTGGTGGAATGTTGATGCAGGGCAACGAGATATTGCTGAGAAAAGCCATTTTTGTTCTCTCTGCAAGTTTCTGGAGAACAGTCAAAACACAGCCTTCAAAGTTTTTGTGGATGATGATGACGACGACGACGAAGAAAGAGCGAGTCTGAGTTCTATCTGTGAAAAATTTATGGGCCTCTCATTTGGGCTTTTAGGCCCATAAAACTGCTCTTAAATCAATCGCAGCCGGTTTGAGAATATCAAAACCGGATTCAAAATGGAACCTTTTTCCCGGTTACCGGAATGTTTTCCTTTGAAAACATTTGCACCTGAAATAATCCGGTTTATGTTTTTTTTTTCTTTGGTCAGATACTTTCATTGATAAGAAAAGAGAATGGAAGTGGTTCCAATTTCTATTTCCGTTTAATTTGGTTTACACATTCGACATTATGTTCTAATTTCTGATTTTATTTGGTTTAGATCGATATTATATTTTTTGTTCACTTAGAAAAATAATGTAACGGAACTAAGTACTATAAACAAATTTCGTTACAAATTTCTAGTTAATATTTCCAACAAAAACTAGAAATATAGCTGGGTAGTGGATGGCAAAGTGGTGTAGATATACGCAAAAGCGCCCCGCACTGTGATAATCACCACCAATACAAAAAAAAAAAAAAAAAAAAAAAAAAAAAACTAAAACTAGAAATATAGAAAACCGATGATTTTGTCTAAATATCAAAATATAATTATTTTGAAATTATTATAGTAATTTCCCTGAGATAATTACTCTATATTATTAAAAAAAATCTAAAAGCGTAAAATTAATTAGGATACATTTTTCAAAATTTATTTTATCATTAAAAATTAATTAAATCTTTAAATTGAATTCATAATTCTCTAAATATATCAATAAAATATTTTAAAATATTATTTCAAAAACTAAAGTCAAATATATAATACAACCATTAAATTATTATTAATATGAAATTCTGTAAAAAACTATTATTATTATTATTATTATTATTATTATTAATTAAATTTTTTTTAAAAATTAATATATGCATAAATGTTTCCAAAACATTTTGATATATCATTACCAAAAAAAAACATTTTGATACAGCTCTGTTAGGATATTAAAATCCTCGACGTATACATATTAAAGATACTAAAATTTTCAAACACTGAGATATATATATTACACGCGTATTTTTTTTCCGGAAAAAAATTCACAATAAATGTATAAATAGATGAAGAATGAGATTTTCCTGAAAGGCTAAATAAATAAATAAATAAATAAAAACGAGGATTGTGCATGGCGCGACGCGGTGGTCGTATGGGAAGTCGCGACGTGCACTCAGTGGATCCCACTCTCCACTCGGTGCGCACGTGATCCCCTTACATATTATCACCAATAATTTAAGGGTTATTTTGTTTTATTTTGGTCAGTTGTTTAATTACAAGAACAACGTGATTTTTTTTATAATTCGTGAATTTATCAAGTTTTTAATCTAATTATATCCAGGGCCGTCTTTTAGCAAGTGCAACCGGTGCATTTGAATAGGGCCCCATTAATTTAGGAATTCCACTTTAAAAAAAATAATTATTATTATTAATTATAAAAATAACATATCTTTTATAATTTAACATTAAATTTTGTAAAATCATTATTCTAATAATTTTTTAGTATATAATTATTATAGAATAAATAAATAAATATACTATAAAAATTAATTAGATTATAAAATTTACTTTTTCTAGTTTATTATTAATACAAATTCAACATTAAATTGAATTTTTAAATTGATTTCAAAATTCCTATATTTTAATAAGAAATTAATCATTTTATTTTAAAAATTGAAAATAGTTTGTATTTATGAATCCTAATTTATGGATTTCCTTTATAAATTAATATTATTATCATTAATACATAAAAACATTACAAACTTTATTGACGATAATTACATTTTTTTCGTAATTAATAATTTTTCTAAATCAGTAAATAATTTTATTATTAATTTTTATTCTATAAAATTATATTTTTTATTATTAAATATTTTTAATAATAATATTTTTATTATATAAATTTATAATTTTTATTAATTAAATTTTATAAAATGTACAGGGCCCTATAAAAGTTTGAGACGGCCCTGGTTGTTGTTATTACTATTAACCATTCAACATATTTACAAATGGACTATATATAGCTTTTAATAAAAATTCTAAAATAAGAGAAAATAAACCAAAGAAAAATATAATAATATGTATAGACAGAAATTTAAATTCGACATAAACTTCCTGTATATTCTAATTTTTGTTCACCGGTTTTGTAATTTAAAACATGGGAATGTAGACTCGGTCGGTCCCTTGAATTGAATATAACATGTCTTTCTACATCTGCATGAGTAATCAAATCATATGACTAACATATCATTTTTTTTATACGGTGGAGACAGTCTCCACATTCCTTCGGGCCGTACACCGTTCGGTCCCGCGGACCAGACGACATTTCGGACACTAAACTCTTCGACTCCCCGCAATAATTAACAAACCACATGGAACAGATAAACCAACCGAAACTAACCGACTCAGAAAAATTTAGACATATTAGTTTTCCATTGTAAACTGTATAGTTTATTTGGTATATATATACACAGAGATAGATAGAAGCTTTATAATATATATATATATGTCCAAACTTGAATATATATAATCACCTAAAGGAGAAGATTGGACTGCTATATAACTTTGTAAATAATATTTTTTTATTAGTATTTAAATGAATAACTATATAATAAGTTTGCTTTAACTAACCAAATGCACTAACCAAAATTCAAATAAGGATCCGCAACTCCCCGACTTGACCCTTCCTCCTCCTCAAGGATCAATGAAAATCCAAGTAAAATTCGGTACAATCGGGACCAATAATATTATAATATTATTATTGTAAGTGGAAATCTAGAGAAATCCCACTTTGTAAAAATGATTTATAAGATAAATAATTAAATTATAATTTTGTTGTTTAATTAGCTGACAACGTTTTATTCAGCTCTTCTTCTCTCGCATTAGAACCTGTTTCCTCTTTCATGTATTCTTTAGAAGCCTAGCCGTTAATAAATACGGATTTAACTCACATTTGTCTTTTATTATTTTATTTATATAGCCATTATGAATCCTAATTTTATGGATTTCCTTTATAAATTAATATTATTATTATTAATACATAAAAACATTACAAAATTTATTGACGATAATTATATTTTTTTTCGAAATTAATAATTTTTCTAAATCAGTAAATAATTTTATTATTAATTTTTATTCTATAAATTTATATTTTTTATTATTAAATATTTTTAATAATAATATTTTTATTATATAAATTTATAATTTTTATTAATTAATTTTTATAAAATGTACAGGACCCCATAAAAGTTTGAGACGATCCTGATTATATCTTGTAGAGCATTGGAGAAATCCGTTTAAATATCGCTAAGTTTAGATTTAAATTCGAAATAAAAGTATATTTTGTATATTGTTTTATCAATTAATCCTCTTAAGTTTGGGTTGAACAAGATGATTATTGGCAATGAGGTCAAATGAAAGTGATTTGTATATCTGTTAATCATATTAACCAACAAAATGATAAAGTTGGGATGCTAATGCTTGGTCGGATGTGATTTTGTTTTTTAAATTTTTTGTAAAAAGTAAACTTGATCGAATGTGGTTTTTTAAATATAGTGTCAGAGAGTACGGGTGGTCACGGGTCGGTTATCCAGAAATTTGAAGATACTCGAATCCGAACCCGAATATTTGTAATTATTTTCAATCAATTTTTTAAAATATATTTATATATATATAGTCAAAATCATTCAAAATAAATTTAAATTGTATTTATATCTAAAATAAATTTATTTTTTTAAAAATACATCATAAATATATCTAATAATATCTATATAATCATTAATATTAAATAAAATAACACAAAATCTAATAAAAATCTAAATTTTAAAATATAATTTTTTATTATTCAGATACTCGAGGGTATCCGTGAGATAATAACTATTATCCGAACCCGAACTCGAAAACTCGGGTATTCCAATATTAATACCCGATTTCATATCTCGTTCGCTCGGATACCCGAATTTTCGGGTATTCGACCCCTAGATCGGATCGAATACTCGAAATCCGGGTATTTTGTCCACGAGAGATCTCCTTTCAGAGTGAAAATATTTCGATAAATTTTAAATTTTAAATCATTATATACATGTTATGATTATACAGAATAGATAAAAAGTTATTATCGGTTGGATAATTGAATATTAAATTTTAAATAAATACTTGTATTGTTTATTTATAATTTACTGTAATACTGAGGGGGGAGACAGAATCAGAGTTGAATTGAATGTTAGTGACCAATTTACAAGAGATAATATTAAATAACATAACGACAAAAAATATCTAGTCGCCGTCGCGGGAGGGAGTTGCCTATCCGGTTACTTCATTGGACAAAATGTATATAAAATTTGGTTTATTCATATTTATATTTCAATACGGTTAACAAATAAAAACATCATAAACAATTAAAAAAAAAAGAACTTGCAACATGGAAACGGACTAAACATCATTTTTCCTATATAAAAAAATCAATTTTATATTAATTTAAGAGGTAAATACATTTTAGTTATTATAATATTTAAAATTTTCATACACCTTAAGATTTTTAGTATTTTAAATTATATCCAAACGTAACCAACATTCAAAATTTGATGAAAATATCATAGTATTTTCATTTTCCTATGCAAAATTTGGTGAAAATTAGTGTTTTTGCTAGAAACAAAAACAAACAATAATAAAAAAATGCATTTGGTAAACTATATTATCTCGTTAAACATATGTGAAAAACTTAAAACGCCATTAAAAAAATAATTAGAAGGGAGTAATAAATACGAGTTTTCTCAATAATTCGACAAAAAGATCAAACTGTATCGAACGCCATTGTTAATGACAAAAACTCTGTGTTTTTCCGCCAATGACAAACATTTCTAGACAAAAAAAAAATTAGGGATAGAAATGGAAAAAGAAAAAGAGGGTATATAAGTAATTTCGTGTCGGTGGAATGATGAGTATTGATGAACGGGCATAGAGAAGCTCACTGGAAATTTTGCACGAACACCTAAAAAAAAAAAACTCCAAACGCTCTGAACCTCCACCAAAAAAAAAAAAAAGCCATCAAAGACAAAAGCCAAAGTCTCTCGCAGAAACCGCTTCGGAGATCGTACTCTGTAATAACGAAGGATCTAATCAACAAGCTTTTGTTCTGTCCTTATCGTACGCCTGGGTTATCCATTAACGTACGCACTCTCTTCTGAGGGAGATTAAAAGTGAGCTTGTCCGAACCGATAGAAAACCCATCCCCACTTGCAGATTTGATTGTGAAGAGAAGCACTTCGGGCTGTTGGTTCTCTGTCTCGAGGTACGAAAAATTATGGACATCTTCTTATTCTTCTCCCTCTACCTCCTTTTAAAAATATTCATAGTTTTAATGGTTATCACCGGGAAAGGTATGGAGAATTTCTTGTTCTCGAGTGTTTCTTTGTAGTTTGTTGTTTCTGGGTTTTGGTTATTGGATCTTGGTGGTGGGTTTGGATTCGTGTTTCAGAAAATTTGGGAGGTAGGTTTTGTTGTTTTTGCTATTGCTGGATCTGATGTCTTCGTCTTCTTTTTTTTCCTTCCTCTTTTCAGGGTTTTGTTAGGGACATGGAAGCAAACAAATGAAACCCTTGTCTGGTTCATGCAGCATGTAGGTCTTGTTTTTGGGTGCAATTTAACCTATAAAGATGAAGTTTTTGGATTCTCTCTCTCTGTGGTAAAGTCTTCGATTTTAGGTTTTTGGGATTCTCTGTCTGGTGGGAGATGGGGGAGCTACAAGGGGGTCGCAAATAGAAGAAGAATTAGTTGAAAGCTTTGATTTTCTCGGAGATCTATCTTCCCCAGATACAGATAATGGCGAACCCTTGGTGGGTCGGAAAAGTCGCCATGAGAGGCGTAGATCATCACCCAGTTACATCGTCAGCTCCATCGTTACACCTAACGAACACCTCGAGCTCGACAGGCGAAGATCGGATCAGGCTGAGCCGGTCGGATCCGAGATTGGACCAAGACTTCGACAGTGGAAGTCCAAACGCTCAAAACCTAGAAGAACAGATCAGCCGAGAAGAACCGGGACAGGATAACCAACCCCAGACCCGGACCGGGTCTGGATCTGGTATGCCCGGACGACGCCCTCGGGGAAGACCGCCCGGTTCGAAGAACAAACCGAAGGCTCCCGTATTGGTCACAAAGGAGAGCCCCAACTCGCTGCAAAGCCACGTGCTTGAGATAGCCAACGGAGCTGATGTGGCGGACAGCCTCAACGCCTTTGCTCGACGGCAAGGCCGAGGCATCTCGGTGCTCAGCGGGAGCGGCATGGTTACCAATGTGACGCTGAGGCAACCGGCTGCACCAGGCGGAGTGGTGAGCCTTGTCGGGCGGTTCGAGATTCTGTCCATGTCCGGAGCCTTCTTGCCAACCTCCAGGTCTCCGGCTGCAGCGGCAGGCTTAACCATTTACCTCGCGGGAGGGCAAGGTCAGGTGGTGGGAGGCTGCATCGCGGGGCCACTCATGGCCTCGGGGCCAGTTATTGTCATCGCGGCTACTTTCAGCTATGCTACGTACGAGATGCTGCCATTAGAGGATAATAACGAGAAGAAGCAAGGTGAAGTGAAGGGGGAGAATGGTAATAAGGAGAGTGGGAATGAAAGCAATGAAGGGTCTATACCCATACCGATGTGTAACACGTCTCATGGTTTAACGGCTAACGACCAAATGCCGCACCACGACGTGTATTGGGCGGCTCTGCCGAGACCTCCTCCGTCATATTGAAGTACAGATAAGAGAGATCACGACGTGTTTCCGATCTGTTTGAATGTTTTAGGGTTTTAGGGTTTATTTCTTGTTTTTTTCGTGTGAATCTGGAAGGCCTAGTCAGGGTTTTACTGTTTTTTTATTAAGTTTTTGGTAACGGAAGATCATGCTTGATGTCCAGGTTGATACATTCATATACGTATATATGTATATGTATATATTAAAAGAGTTTTAGTGTAGCAAGCTTATATATATATATATATATTGCATTCGTGTCATTTTTTGAGCTTAGGGGTTCATCGACGTACTCTTGGTGGTATTGTTCTTCATTTAGTTTGCATGTCTTAGATAATTTTTTTTTTTGTAGTTTTGACTTTGTTATCTCTAAGAGTTTGTTTACACGTTGATTAATTTCCTTTGTATTTGGTTTGGTTACAAGTAAGGATGGACATAATATCTGAAAAGTCGAATCGGTGCGTTGTTCGATTCGTATCCGAACCCCTCTCTCTCCTTCTCTGGCTTCCTCATATTTTCTCGGCTTTTTAATATATCAGGATTTTCATCGATTTTCTTAGTTCCAAAGTACGTTTGAATTGGCTTTTGGTGAAGGATGCATTAGTTTAGGTCATCTGAATAAGTTATTCAGTTTTTCTTAAACTTCCCAATTTCTGGTCTTTTCTCTTAGCTTTGGCATACATATTTAATTTTCAACTTCTTTTGACATGTTAATAGATGAGTTTCGTGTAACAATCTATGTTTGCAAGTTTTGAGAATCCCTAAAAAAAATTTTAGAGAAAATCCCAAAAAAAAACATTAACTTTTTAATTTTGACAAAAAACACTAAATTTTTTTAAATTTGTCAAAAAAAACACTAAACTCTTCTATGACTATCAAAATAAACAAATGAGCTGACGTAGTATAAGAAGATGCAAGCACATCAAATTATTATCGTTGTTTTTTTTTTTACAATTGTATATAGTTCATGTATTTTTTTATTCATTTAAAAAGTTTAATATTTTTTTGACAATCACATAAAAATTTATATATTTTTTTGGATCATTTAAAAAGTTTAGTATTTTTTTAAACTCATTTAAAAAATTTAATGTTTATTTGACAAAAATAAAAATTCCATGTTTTTTCTATCAAAATTGTAAAGTTTAGTATGTTTTTTAAGATTTTTCTTTTTTTTTTGGTTGTTTGTGGTTTGACGTTGTTCAGACACTTCTTCAAAATCATAATGATATTTATGATAAATATCAGTATCCATTGATACGGTAAAAGAAAGGGATTCAAATTTTTCGGATAGAACAAGAGTAGATTGTATGAATATAAAGTTCGATCCTTTTGTCAGTTCTTAGTCCATATAATCGAAAGTTGAAGATAATTCTCTTTTTTTTTTATATGGAATATACAGTAGAAATGTGATTATTGAGATACATAAATGTGATGAATTATGATTGTATTTATATTGAATTGATTTAGAATATTTATATTATGAACTTTGAATTTTGAATATGGTTTGTGTTTGAGTTTTTTTGTATTTTTTTATATATTTTATGTCGGACACGGATATTCGCAAATATTTGCGATTTTTACGGATATCCGAAATTGCGGATCGGATACGGATAACGAAATTAAATATTTGTACGGATCGGATACGCATACGAATATCTAAAAAATTAGGATATCCGATCTGTGACCACTCCTAGTTACAAGTGCTGATTTTGATAGTATAGTTGATGAAATTAGCTCTTTTATACTTTAGCGACATTTGAATTTTACACTATAGTGTGTAGGGTTCGGTGGTTTAGTAGTGTTCTTTTTACTTGACTTCTTCCTTCTTATAGATCGATCGACGTGAATCATATCGTGCGCTGTTATATAGTTATTTATTTATTTATGTACATTTATCAATGTTTTTATTGTGCTTGTACCAATTGAGTGTAGAAATTGAAATATTTTACTCTATTGATCAAGTTTATAATCGTTTGGACAGTGAAAGCTTATAGACTGTCGGAGTTAGAAATAAAATGCGTGAAATTTTAAAATTGTTTTTTGATAAGAAATTTAGAAAATTGTTAGGGTCTTATTTAGGAAAAATTATGTATTTTTTTATTGACTCTGGACTCTGGAATCAGTATCGGACCTAACAAAAATTTTAATTGGAGACAAAATTAATTTTACATGTGGAAAACATATTTTTTTTTATGGAGACGTTTATAAAATTTGGTTAAAATTGGATAAAATTTATGAAAAAATTATAAAATTTCCATCACAAATGGGACATATGCCCCATACATGGGGACATGGGTCCGCCCATGGTCATGATGTATATAATGTTTTTTTTTATAGTTCTTTGGATGGATTCAATTTGGGATCGAACGGACGAGGTCATTATTTCTTATAGATTTGTCGTAGAAATTAAGCGGCTATTAGGGGGGATGGGTTTAGGGTCCACAATAGCCATGACTCTCCAGAAGCTTCTAGAATATGGAACCATGTTGGTTCAGGAGCAAGAGAATCTTAAGAGAGTCCAACTTGCAGATAAGTACCTCAAGAAGTTGCGTTTGGAAGACGCAAACGCAGACGCCCTCAACCGAGGAACCCTTCTTCAGTTGGACGCCCCTCGCCACTCGCGAGAATCTTGGATTTCTTTTTTGTCAGTTGTGTTTGGTTGGAGAGAGGGTGAAAAGATGGGATTAGGGTTTCTGATTTAGGGTTTTCGTGGTGGCGTGACTTGCAGGGCAAGTGAGCGAGTGAATTTGCCTCCGCTGCCAAAAACTTCGATCCAGTTGCTAGGAGTGATGATTGGAGCTTGCATTTTTCACATTTTTGAGGACTAGAAAGAACGGGGGAGACAACACTTTAAAAAGAAATAAAAATTTAAAATCATTCAGAAGTTGTTTTCGTTCTTTTTTTTTTGGTTCTCTTTTATGGCTTTTGCCTCTTTATGTGACTGAAGTGGATTGGTGCTTGTCTTCTTATGACAGATAACGTCCAGTTTCAACACTTCATCAGAGTAAAAAATCCTTATAAAATATTTAAAACGTCGGTGATATGGCTTCTAATTTTTTTTGGTAACCGGTTATCCTGGACCGACATCCAGATTAATCTTGGGACCCGAGAAAATAATATAATTAGAATATGTGTTCCCCTCCCCAATTTGATGTTCGAATTCGGAGTGAAATCCCTTTTTACCGGTTGAACTAGTCAAATTGGATATAATTTCTAATTCTATTATGCGTGAAGAGAGAGAAGCTCGTGCAAGAAAACAAACGAAAAGAAGAAGAAATAGCTCCATTGACATGAATAATGGTACATATTTAGATATATACATACACAATACACTAACCGTTGTGGATTATGGACTTAGCTCATGTTGACTTTGACCGTTTGTTAAATAGAATTAGGTAAAGTTCCTTGATGATGGGCCTAACTCAACCCATTCACTCAAATGTCGTTGGGTCAAACAATAATAAAAATCTAAAATAAAGCAGGAAAACGAAGATTTGGATCTGGTCTAAATTAATAGTATTATACCAAGTGTTCAGTTACATTAATTATTTAAAATAATGAAATAAAATCATACCGATTTTTTATTTGTATTATGTCATTAATGATTAAATAATACACACGCAAAAATTGGACCGAGAAAAAACATCAGTCAAGTAAATGAGAGTATAACGAATTATAAAACATGAGGACCATACCAAGTGAGTGTGTTTGTGCCCTGTCGGGTGTCTTGTTCTTTCTCCCAAAACTAGTGGCCACGACTTTTTCGCACGTTGGCTTTCACTGGTGGCGTTTTAAATATTTCCTCTCATGTTCTCTTTCATCATCATCATCATCATCATCATCATCATCATCATCATCACTCCATTTCTCATTCCTTTCCACTGCCAACGTTACATTGTTAATCCATATGACCATCTAACATTAACAATATATTTAGCGTTTACCATCGATCACATATCATCCATATGTATACGGTCAAACATATGATTCGGTACGATTCTTCGACGAAATCGAACCAATAAATTCGATACTATTCAAAATCCATAAAGAGGATCGAATTATAAAAAAACTAAAAAAATTGAATTGTTTTTTTAAAATTTTTTTATAATAAAAACTAAAATCGAACCAAATCAAAATCAAATTAAATCAATTCACACATGTTTTTATAAAACCGAAAATAAACGAACCGAACCATTTGCCAAACCAAACCGAAATCAAATATGGAAACCTCCACCCTAGTCAAATACATGATGTTCACTCATCGGTACAAATGTCATATTTGAGACCGTATTCAATTGGTTGTCTGATCATCATCGTCGTCGTCGACTCGTCGATGTCATCATCATCATCCCATCCTTCATGAAGTATCCATCATAATTCCAAGCTCTATCATTCGGGAAAATCACCCAAATAACCCATTTGGGTCGCATCTATTTCACTGTACACCACCAAAAAAAAAAAAAATTTTTTTTCAATTTTAACCCACTTTTCGGTTGGAAAAGTCCAAAATACCCTTTTCGTTTTATTTTTTGCGACCTTATTACGACTAACATATAACTGATATACAACTAAAAATAAGACAGATGATTTTTTTGCCACCTTTTTTAGAATCAATTATAACTATATTTAGACTTAATTACGAAGTTGTAATAACGAAGTTGTTTTCGAACGGATAAATATCGTAATTCATTAAGGGTAATTTCGTCTTTTCGCAGGGAAAAAAATGTGTTATGTTTTCGGTGGTGTACATGTGAAATAGATGCGACCCAAGTGGATTATTTGGGTAAAAACCCCCTATCATTCAGTGTCATCACCACCGGCACATTCACCATCATCACCATCATCATCCATCATCTTCTTCTCCATCTTTCTCAGTTACTATTTCTGGCTTCTAGTGGAAAAATATGATAAAACTACATCACCTCGTATGCTATAACCATTATTCCCTTATCTCTCACTTAAAAACAATAAAATAAAAATCGCAACTTTCAGACATTCTCCATGGCCCAGACCTTCGTGTTCATCTGGGCACTCATCTTCTTCACCACCGACCGAGTTTCTTCGCAAAATCTCCAATTTTCCTTTGTGGGTTTCAAGCACTCGGCCCCAAATCTAACCCTAACCGGAGTTGCAGCGATCACCAACAATGGAGCCATCAAGCTCACCCCCGACACGCAGCGCGTTGTCGGCCACGCCTTCTACTCCCTCCCTGCCCGATTCAAGCCCCCTGGTCGGAAGAGAGATCTGTCCTTCTCCACCGCCTTCGCCTTCGCCGTGGTTCCTGAGTTCGCCAAGCTCGGAGGCCATGGCTTTGCCTTCGCCATCTCTCCATCGCGAGATCTCTCCCATTCGCTTCCCAGTCAGTACTTAGGGCTTCTGAATTCGAGCCAAGAGGCCTCCTCCAACCACATATTCGCTGTCGAGTTCGACACCGTCAAGGATTTCGAGTTCAGAGACATCAACGATAACCATGTCGGAATCGACATAAACAGTATGGAGTCGAATATCTCGGTCCCCGCCGCTTATTTTCTCCCCAATTCGACCGAGGAGGAGCTTTCACTGGAAGGCGGGGGAGTGATTCAAGCTTGGATCGACTACGATTCCGACAAGGGCAGGTTAGATGTCAAGCTTTCTCCGTCCTCTGAGAAACCCAAGTTATCGCTTCTGTCGTACGAGGTAGATCTGTCGCCTATTCTGGGAGAGGAGATGTATGTCGGATTCTCCGCGTCGACTGGTTTGCTTGCTAGTTCGCATTACATCTTGGGTTGGAACTTCAACATGAGCGGAGAAGCCATGTCTCTGCCTCTGCAATCTCTCCCTCGGATTCCGTTGAAGAAGAAGGAGAAGAAGAAGGAGAATGTCGGCTTGATTCTTGGTGTTTCTATTTCGGTTTCGATTCTGATAATCTCCTTCATTGCTGCCTTGGTGTTTTACATTGTAAGAAAGAAGAAAGACGAGGACAAGATCGAAGATTGGGAGCTCGACATTGGCCCCCATAGATTCTCGTACCAAGAGCTCAAACAAGCTACAAGTGGTTTTCGGGACAAGGAGCTTCTGGGGTTTGGTGGTTTCGGCAAAGTATACAGAGGAAAGCTCCCGAATTCAGACACTCCAGTGGCAGTGAAGAGGATCTCTCACGAATCTAAACAAGGTGTTCATGAGTTCATGTCTGAAATCTCCAGCATCGGCCATTTACGACATAGGAACCTTGTTCAGCTGCTAGGATGGTGTCGCAGGCACGGGGATCTGCTTCTTGTCTACGAGTTCATGCCCAATGGAAGCTTAGACAAGTACCTGTTCGATCGAAACCCTAAACTTGTCTTGAACTGGGACCAACGTTTCAACATCGTTAAAGGGGTCGCTTCGGGTCTACTCTACCTACACGAAGGATGGGAGCAGACTGTTATCCATCGTGACGTAAAAGCCGGGAATGTCCTGTTGGATGCCGAGATGAACGCAAGGCTCGGGGATTTCGGGCTGGCTAAGCTATACGACCGTGGAGCTAACCCAACCACCACAAGAGTGGTCGGGACATTAGGGTATTTGGCACCAGAGCTCACTAAATCAGGGAAGCCGACAACAAGCGCCGATGTCTTTGCCTTTGGTGCAGTGTTGTTAGAAATGGTGTGTGGGAGAAGACCGATAGAGGCAAAGGCCCTGCCGGAAGAGCTCGTTCTGGTGGATTGGGTCTGGGAGAAATGGCAGAACGGAGCCATCCTCGAAGTGGTGGACAAGAGGATGAATGGTGAGTATGATGAGTCCGAGGTTGTCTTGGTGCTGAAGCTAGGGCTCATCTGTTCCAACAATTCGCCTGAGGTGCGACCCACGATGAGGCAAGCGGTCAGGTACCTAGAAAAGGAATCTCCCCTCCCGGATGATGTTCCAGCTCTTGATTCCTTGGATTCCAAGAAACGTATGCTTCTTGATGGAGATGGCAGAAGCCAAAACATTGGCGAGTTCGAAGATTTCGTGGATTCATGTCAGTTGTCGTGTGGAGTAAACGAAGCTACTTCAACTGTGTTCTCCTCCTCCAGTATGAACAACGGGAGATAGTACCGTGCGACTCTAGGATTTTCTTCCTAGGGTTTTCTGTCTGAGTGGCTTCCATCAAAAGGGTTAAAAGATTCGGTCTCTGTAACTATGTAAATGTAACAAGGAGATCTCAAGAACTATAGAAATTCTATGGAACTTGAGTTTATTGATAAATTTCATTGTGTTTCTGCTTTTACAGCTTCAAAACTTCGTGTTCATCCTACCTCCAGAGATTCAGGAACTTGAAAAAAACCTTCCCTTCTCACTCGGGCTCGGGATCTATAGATCGAAAACTTGTTATCTTCGGGGTTTATTCTTCGTTGTCTCTTCCGGTTGCTGGATCTATGATGAGCTCAAACCAAGAACACTTATCCTCCGTTCTGCGAATGATTCGTGAAAACAGAGGGTGACTGTTCAGTGACCCGACAGAGCAAAAAAATTGTCTGAAACAGAAATATCTGGATTTCTCCAGTGCAAGCAAAAGCATGAGTTACCTCCAGCTGCAACGAGTTTCTCTACACGCGCAACTATATGCTTTCCGTAAGTGTATTTCTTCAAAACGTTCAAGTGAAGCTTTATCCTGTCGAGGACGAGCTCGAGCTGCCGATCCTCGCACGTTTCCAGAACTTTCTGGACAACGTAGTTTCCGAACTGATCTTTCATCATTTCCTAAAAACAGATCATGGGTTTTGCAAAAACTGTAGCTTCTTCAAATCAAAAGATTGTTCGCATTATCGAGAAAGCGAAAAAAAGGAAAAGGACCTGAAGAGGCTCGTTCTCGTCAATGGAGCCGAGCATCTCCTTAACGATGGTTCTGCGTTCAGCAGAATTTCCGAAAGTCAGGCACTTTTCTACGACATTAGATGCAAACTTCTGCTGGCTCATCTGAACAGTCTGCCCGGTTAGTTTGGCGATAATAGCGGAGCGTTCATGCGGTTTTCCGTGCTCAATAACATGCTGAAAGGGAAACCAGATTAAACATTTCAAAAGGGTAAGCGAAAGAACAAACAAAATAAAGGGTCCGGTTTTTTTCCTCGAAGCTACTAACCTGAACAACGTAATTCCCATACTGGTCCCGAGCCAACTCGCAGACAGAACTCAGGATCTCATCCATTATTATACGCAGCGTTTTCTCCTCGCGACAGTTCTCGAGAATTCTCTGCCAGACAGAATGTTTAAATCATGAGCCTGTGATGGGAACGGACATTATGCAGAAATATGCCCGAAAATGGAGAAATGTGAAGAGCAAGATCGGAAAACCTGTATGACACGACAACCGTAGGAATGAGAGGAAAGTGCAACGACTTGATTGTAGAAAGCCGAGATAACGAATTGGATCGAGTCCTCTGGTACGCATTCGATGCATTTCTGAATGACGTGATTCCCGTTTTGATCACGGACACACCTCATTACATGCCCATCTAGTTCCTTCACCATTTCGATCTTCTGATCCATTTCAACCACCTCTACTGCCTAAAAGGCCGAAATTTTAAAAAAAAAATGCCAGAACGGGGATCTACCCTTGAGAATTCTTACAGCACAAAAGAACAAATGGGGCAGCCCGGTGCACAAAAGTGTCCCCATTGAACGGGGCCCGGGGAAGGGTTCCCTAGAAATTCTTGAATAATGTAAATTAGCGGTAAAGTTCTCGATGAGTTGAGGAAATGTCATACCTTCTGAATTACCCGACAACCGTACATCTGAAGGCTGAGAGACAAGACATTGCCTATCAGCTTGTCAGCTAGCTGTCTTCTCTGTGCCGGAGTTCCGTGCTCCATAAACTGAGAAAGAGTATCGAGAGACTGTTACTACCGAGAACCAATTCAAGATCAAGAAACGACGACTGTGCAGAGACAAGGGAGAAATACGAAAAAGAGTACCTTTTGTATCACATAATTACCAAACACATCAGTCATGAGTGGCAGGGCTTTGGGCACGATTTCATCGAAAACCCTGTCTTTCTCTTCTACGGTAGCTGTCTCAAGTTTCTGCTGAATAAATCGGCTCCCGTATTGATCAGAACTGTTAGTGTTAAGAAACAACAGAAGGATCAAAACCCGAGAAAACTACAGAAAACAGGAATGAAGGAATAGAATCTCATATCATATGCACCTAAATTCAGCAATATGGCCTGCGATTTCCGAGAGTTCTAGGCTCTTGGTTTTATGGCCTTTAAACCCGTCAAGTAAAGCAGATGCGAAACATTCATCAAGGTTAACCTCGTTATCCACATTCCTAGGTTGTACAAAACAGTTTGACGTTTTTCCCGGTCCAGTAGAGAAGTGCATCCTCTGATAATCTGCAGTATGACCTGAAGCCGGACTCCCGTGATATCGGCAACCAGATTTCCCGAAGAGGGGAAAACCGTAATGCATTTGACGTTGTTCTATCATCGCCTCTACATAAGCTCTCTCTACAAAGTCCAAGTATGAACCACCGGGACTCAGATCTGATCCTAAAGCCACTGATCCAGTTTCATTGCAATTTCCTTGACGGTATGCCACCACAGAAGGAGATAATGATGGATTCACAGAGAATCCATTAGATCTTCGGGAGGGTACTCTCCGGTAAGAATCGGTATCTGAAAAACCAGATTGGTTATGCTCAATAGGCCCTTCATCCATCCAAATGCTGTGTCCTGTCCCTGCATTATTCGATCATCTAATATTCTCAGTCAAGCAAAGACAGAACACAAGTACATTGCACTTTTTTGCAATAGAAACATAGAAATTTGTGATACCAAAAGGGGAAAGGAACATTATTTAACCTTGGAGATGATTAAAGGGGTTATGAAGATTGCCAGTTTCAAATCGAGGATGTGGCCATAAGGGATTCCCCTTGAGCAATGTGTGGCTTTGTGATAAATTCAGGTCGAAGAATTTCGAAGCTAGTTCATCTGATTCAGCTATTCCATTCGGATTTGGAGGGGCATTTCCTGACAAGAAATCATAAGATCCGCAGGCATAGGACGAACCATGATTCTGACGACAGAACCTGGATTCAGAACTTTCTAAACTGACATCGAATGAACTCTGACAAGTTAGATGAGGAAGATGCGTCCAAGTATCATCCTGTCCAAAAAGGACAAACCATATCATGAACAAGGGAACATACAAATATGATTATAAAACCGACATTACCGAACTAGAGAAAGCTCCCAAAAGCTGAATAAGCAGTAGCAGGTTTCGCGTGATCAAAGAAAGAGAAACGTAGAAAAAGGACTCGTCTTTAACGTCGTGAAATCGTAAAACAATTTCATAACCCTTCACCTGAATCGTCTCTGTCAGCCTCTTATCACTTCCCAGTCCAATCAAGCCATCTCCTTTCCATCCGCCATCAAAGGGAGACTGAGCAAATCCCCATTCCTCCATGGACATCGACGGAGGGGACAACCTCGGATTCATGTTCGCCGGACTAGACCAAACGCTATCTTCGAGACGGTTTTTGCGACCCAGGAAAGGCGAGCCCTTGAAGACGCCATTGTTCGAGCTGAGCGATCTCTCCACGGTCGGAGCCGCGGACCCACTTTGGAGAAAACCGAAACCCGAGTCTGAACTCTGTCCCCGACCCTTGCTCTCTCCGACAAATTTCCATAGCTCTTCCCTGAAATCTTGTGTCTGAAGCATAGACATCATCCTGTACCTTGGATCAATCAGACAATGGATACTACACAAAAGTTCCCAACTTTGTGTCTGTAAACGAACTGGGGATCCGCTTTTTTGTCTCGGGCAAAACTACGATTCGGTGATATGAATAGGGTCTAATGTGCGAGAAGCTTTACATGTGAATTCACATTGGGACGCGTGAGATGGAATGATTATACTAATGGAGGAAAGTGAATTCATGTCGATCGAGGCGGTTTGGAGATATTCTCCATTTTCTATTTCCTTTTCGTCAGTGCATTGGAAGAGACTTGGGAGGGAATGAAACACAGACGTGGAGAGATCTCAGCGGCTGTGCGGAACAAATGTACGGAAGAGATTCGTTCTTTCAGGAACTCGAGTGAATCTCTCCACTAACTGGGTGTCAGAGATTCAGAGCTTTTTCGGATAAAAAGCATTGATTGGTTCTGTACTAGCACGTGAGGCTGTTCCTCCTCTGATTTCGCCCGTCACGTGACACTGTACTTCCGGTTTAGGACAAAACTGATCAACACATTACAACGGGAATCAGATTAAGCTCCTGAACTGTAGAGACGCAAATTTGCAATTCAACGCTCTACCCTTTATTCGCCGAAGAGTTTAACTACATGATCTCTTTGTGAAAACGAGATTTGAGATCTCCTTCTGGAGGTTTTTGTGCGACTCCATAAACAAATCCAGTCTTATGGATTGTCGAAGCAACCGGGGCTGATTGCAGAAGAATCTGATGGAAACGCCATCATCCAAGTGCGAAAATGAACCTCTCCGATAAAACGGGAACGAAAAAATCCGAAAACAACCAAACTTAATGTTATGTCTTCAGCAAACCTTTGGAGCGAAGTGGAGGTTTTCGAACCCTCGGATCGAGTCAGAAGGTCAGGTAAACGCGGAGGGGCAAAATGGTCATCTTGAGGTCGAGTAAATGTGACCTAGGGTTTGGTTTTGCTCAGACGGTGGTTTTTCGCTTTCGTGTTTTTTCCTCTATCCCTTTCGGCGAACTTGCGTTCTCCGTGTGTCGGGATCGGTTTTCCGGTCGATCTCCGGCGGCTTTCTTTCTGTAACCCTAGCAAATGTTGTTCCTCTTCCCGAGACTAGGTATCGAGCGTTAGAGCTCGATATTGAACTCGTAATCTATGTGTTCTTTCGTTTCTTGCTCACACGAGTGAATCGGAGAGACGGTGAGGTGAATCGGAGGGCAAATCCTCTACAAGTGGTATCAGAGCCTGGTTGACGGCGAGGCTCGGCGGATCTGCGGCGGAAATCGCCTGAGGTAAGTCCAAGGTAAGGTCAGATCTGATTTCTCTGATTCTGGTGTCTTCGTCTGTTTCAGAACCGAATCGGTGGTGAAACGACGAAGCAGGAGCCATCTCGTGTCGAGATCGGCGACGGTCACCGGCAGAGGAGCTCAGATCGGCGGTGCAAGAGGAGGTAAGTTCCGGATCTGACTCGCCTGAGTTACTCAGCCGAGTACAGAGTCCAAGGAGGTGAGTTCGCTCTATTTCTGGTTAGGTCTAGGGTTGGGGAGGGAAAACCGGTGAAGAACCGGTGTTTTCCGGCGGTTTTCGGCCGTGACTCGTTCTGAGTCGCGACTGAGTCGGGAAACGGGTGAGTCAACGTCCGAGTTGACCGGGTTAACTCGGCGGCTAAGCTTCCAAAATTAGGGTTTTCTGGTTTAATCCGGTTTAGCCGGTTAAATCGGAATTGTCTAATTGGACCGGGCCCGATTCAAAATCGAACCGATTTAGTCGGGTTAGGTCAAACGTTGACCAATTTCTGGTCAACAGTTGACCGAATTAGGAAAACCGGATCGGTTCAGGTCAATTGGACCGGTTCAGGTCCGGTTTGGGGTCAATTGGACCGGTTTAGACCGATTCGAGTCAATTTAGGTCCGGTTCGGGATAACCCAGACCGGTTAGGTCAATCTAGAACCGGTTTAGGACAATAGAGTCCGATTTAGATCAATTTAGATCGGGATTGGGCCGGTTTTAGGTCTGATTAGGGTGTGATTTGTCCAAATAGGCTGGTATTGTCTGGTTTAGGGTCTGTATCGACTAGAAAAGGTCTAGATTGGTCGGTTTAGGGTCAAGATTGTCTGATTAGGGTTTAAATTGGTTGGTTTTAGGTCTGATTGGTTCGATTGGGTTAGATAGAGTCCGGTTCTTAGGGCATTCTGTCTGGTATAGGGTATTTAGGATCTGTATAGGTCGATCTATCCTAGATAGAGGCAGATTAGATCTGCGGTAGACTCTGTTACCTGTCTTCACTCATAGAGTCCGGTAAGTCTGTCCGGTTAGGCCTGAATAGGAGGATTTGGCTGAACTAGGTGAGTTAGAAGTCGGTATTAGGGCTAAAATCTATAGGTACAAGTCTGTTAGGGTTGATTTTAGGCTAGATAAGGTCTGATCAGATTTAATTAGGTCGGTTTAGACTTAGTTTAGATCTGATTAGGTTAATTCAAGTCTGATCAGGGGTAGGTAAGTCAATATTGAGTTGGCTTAGGTCTGATTAGGACTTAGGGGGCATAATAGACTCGGTTTAGGTCTGATCTAGGTTGGTTAGGTCAGTGTTAGCCTTGGGGTAGGTCTGATTAGACGTAATCAGGTCTTAGGTAGACAGTTTTAGAGTCTATTAGGTCTGTTAGGTTGAAAAATACCTAGGTTTAAGTCCTCTTAGGATCGGTCTTACTCCTTAGGTCTGGTTTAGGTGCTCCTAGGGTCGGTTTAGTCATTCCCAGGTTAGTTTCGTTCTAGGTAGGTCTAGTGCATCCTCGGGTTAGAGATTAGGTTTCCTATTAGTGATGTCTGCCCCTCTATATCGCGGCCTTGACGTCGAGAAGTTCGACGGCAAGGGAGACTTCTCTTTATGGAAGGAGAAGATGTCCATTAGCTTAGAGATCTTAGGGTTAGGGGACACATTAGAGGATAATCCATCTACATGGGGGGTTGCTGATGAGGGGAGCCCACAAACTCCAGCTCGGGAAACCGAGGATTCGGGAGGCCTTACGTCTCTTTCCACCGGGTCACTAGGACCCGGGGCTAAGGGATCGGGTACTCCGACTCTCAAAGAGAGACAAGAAAGGAGTAGAAGGGCTAGGAACCTCATAGTGTATGCTCTAGCGGATCAGGTTCTAAGGAAGGTCATATCCGAAAGGACGACCTTCAGAATCTGGAGGAAACTAGAGCGGTTGCACATAGAGCAATCTCTTCCCAATAGGATGTACCTCATGCAGAGGGTGTCAGGGTTTAGGATGGACAACTCTAGGACAATAGAGGAGAATTTAGACATTTTCCAGAAACTATTGTCCGACCTTCACAGTCTAAATGTGAAGGTAGAGGAGGAGTATCAAGCAGTTTACATGCTGAACTCCTTACCTCCTGCTTATGAGCAGCTGAGGGAAGTCCTGAAATATTCCCGAGCTACTATCTCGGTGGAGGAGGTGAAGGCCGCAGCTAGGATGAAGGAGCTAGAGCTTCTAGCTCAAGGTACCCTTACTCGGGGTACGGGGGAAGGATTAGTGGTCAAGGGCAAACCCGAGAAATCGAATGGCGGGAAGAAGAAGGCCAAAGACCAGGTGGAGTGTTGGTATTGCGGCAAGAAGGGACACTATAAGAAGGAGTATAGGTCCCGGAGGGCGAAGGAGGAGACCGAGGGTAAGGGAGTAGTAGCCTCGGTTCAGGAGTATGATTCGGAGGTACTTCTAGTATGCTCCGACTACTCCTCGGGTGGAGGTTCGGAGGTGAGGTCTCCACGTCTAGGTGGAGTTACCTCGGGTAGGAAGCGGGGTGGAAGCGCAGGGGAAGGGGCGAGCGAGGGAATTCCGGGTCACCGGGAAGAGTCGGTGAGGATAGTAGCGCTAGGGGCATTTCCTCTCGGGGTGGAGCACGTGCTTGCACGTGTTCCGAGCGTTCGGTAGAGTTTCTATAGGTCGACTAGGGGAGTCTTCACGGGGTAAAACCCGTGGAGGCACCTTAGTCGGTAGGTAGGGTCCGGGGTAGAGGTCATAGGTCGCTTGATCTCTATGGGGATCAAGATTTAGGTTTGCTAGTATGACTCAAGGTTAGTCTCGGGGCAGTCGGGGTAGACTCGGGGGACGGGTAGATGTCGGGGTATGACCCTCGGGGGGCCATTGGTGAGGTATAGACTTCATTGGAGGGGGTCATTTAGACGGTCTAGGGAGCCATACTAGCCTAGGTACTAGTCCAGGTCTTAGGTAACTTTCGGAAGCAGAGATGTCGGGGGACACTCGCTTGGGTAGGTTAGGTGCGTCGTGTCACGCTGAGACGTGTTTATGACACGCTCGGTAATGACTCCTTTAGAAGGGTAGGTTCAATACGCCTTCAACCATGCCCAGAGGGGGAGTTACATGGAAATTACGGGAATGAGCCTGCTAGGGTTTGGCGTGTCTTGTTTTTTTTTCTCTTTTCCGTGTTTTCTTGTTCTTTTGCAGGTTTGGCAGAAGAAGGTGGAGATTTGTTATGTCTTCAGCAAACCTTTGGAGCGAAGTGGAGGTTTTCGAACCCTCGAATCAAGTCATAAGGTTTGGTAAACGCGGAGGGGCAAAATGGTCATCTTGAGGTCGAGTAAATGTGACCTAGGGTTTGGTTTTGCTCAGACGATGGTCTTTCGCTTTCGTGTTTTTTCCTCTCTCTCTCTCTCTTTCGGCGAACTTGCGTTCTCCGTGTGTCGGGATCGGTTTTCCGGTCGATCTCCGGCGGCTTTCTTTCTGTAACCCTAGCAAACGTTGTTCCTCTTTCCGAGACGTAGGTATCGAGCGTTAGAGCTCGATACTGAACTCGTAATCTCTGTGTTCTTTCGTTTCTTGCTCACACGAGTGAATCGGAGAGACGGTGAGGTGAATCGGAGGGCAAATCCTCTACACTTAATCGATAGAAACGATGAGAAAAGGTGAGAAACAAAGCTGAGAGTGTTTGGTTTCCAAGAAAGTGAAGGAAAATGTAAAGCATATGAAATAGAGGATGGGAAAACTTCTGTTATCTTACGCTGAAAACGTACATGATCTGCTTAAATAAACTCTGACACATTCTTACGCGTGTACGTATCTACAAGCAGTTTATTTTCCGTTAAAATACAATTATCTATACCAACAGAATCACTTCCATCTATGACTAAAAGCTTTACAGAAACAGATGCCGAGATCGCCAAGGAACAAGATCATTAGAGCTAAGAGCTAAGCCAAAGTTGAGAGCTTTCGAGCTAAGATGACGAAAATCTGATAGAGGGAAAGCTAACTGTGTCGCGGCATTTTAGTTGACCGAACTGTTTATTACCTCGTTGGATCAAGAACTCGATGTACTGAAAGTTCTTGCGGTCAATCTGTTTCGAGTT